CAGCCTGTGTATCGATCTATGCATTAAATGAAGTCATTGTGCATCCCTGGACTCGTGCCCTGAACCTGGATTTCATTCTGCTATCTGACTTCTCTCTCATCTGTGGTGGTGCCTTGGACTCTTAGTTAAATGGTTTCATGTCAAAGGAAAGTGGGGGGAGGAGAGTACGTTTCTTGTCTACTTTGGGAGAATTTCTGGCTATAACTTAAGAGGGAACAAACACATGTTGTTTTGAAGTACTCATCAATGCTTAGTATGTTGTATATATATTTTTTTCCTCTCAACAGATGCTACAGATGCTACAGCTGCCACAGCCCCAGTCCCTACAGCAGAGGTTGGTGCTTCTCAGGAGGATGAGCAGGTGTTTGAACCAGCTGATACGTTGCCCTCCCGGAGCGAGGCAGCCGCAGTGCAGCCCGTCATTGGGATCAGTCAGAGAGTGCAGATGAACTCCAAAGAAAAGAAGGACTTAGGGACACTAGGTACGAGCCCAGGATCATGTGCTGGATCCATTCTTGTAATTCTGGCAGGATGGATTTGTTTTGAAGCTCTAAAAGGTACTGCCTCTAATTTTGTCTCTTTTCTTTTTCTTTTCACAGGGTATGTGCTGGGGCTGATCATGATGGTGATAATCATTGCCATCGGAGCTGGCATTGTCCTGGGATACATCTATAAGAGGTGAGTGGCTGTTCTTATTTGTCCAGAAGCTGGTGTGTATAGAGCAGGAGTGTCTGAGCACCTGCAGACCTAATCAGATCCCACGGCAAAGGGACAGAAGCACATGTTTGGTTGTGGAACATTGAGCAAGAGTTTTGTTTGTGCCACTGAGGAAAGAACTATTGAAGAGTTAATCCCATTCTCCATTTCACCCATCAGTGTGGTGTTCTGTCCCATTTAAAGTTTCAAATTGCCCTCTATATTCTTTGCTTTTTTGTGTGTGCATGTGTGCCTTGATGTGGCTTCCTCAGATGTGTTGTGGGGAGCTGGAATTTATGCAAGAGCTGGAGAGAGCAGATCCTAGGTGCCCTTTGTGATCACAAAAAGAACAATACTTCTAGCAGGCCACCTGTTTCCCTGCTTTCTCTAGTCTAGCTTTAGAAGAAAAACAATTGCCAATTTTTTTGCTACTCGTGCATTGTATCCTATGAAGCTGAATACCAACTAGCACTTCTTTTTGGTCAAAGTTCATTTTACCAAAGCTCCTGTGTACTTTAAGGTCACTTTTCATTCACACTTCAGTTACTATTTCTTCCTCCACTGTGTTGGATGGAAATGTTTCTGTAGCTCAGCAGCCTTTGAGGGAAGTGGCAGCAGCAGCTTAGTTGTAAGAGAGAGGGCAGGATTAACAAATAGCAGTGATTGTCGCTGCAGCAAGCGAGGGCCCAGGCTCCCTCCTCTGGGAGGGTTGGTACTGTGTTTTGGCTGTTTGACAGCAGTCTGACACAACCAAGCAGAAGGAGCCCTTTCCCAAGCTGGGACATGTCCTTATGTAAGTGTTTATAATAAATGCCGACAGAAAAAAAACAGAGGGAGGAGTGTTACATAAGGGGCAAAACACAGAGCGCTGCTTGTCGAGGAATCTGATTTGAGGTGTCACGTCAGAGAATGCTGTCTTGTGTGCTGGCAGGGACGGCAGCTGCTGCTGCACGCTCGTAGGCAGCTTTGAAAAGCAGCCAAAATGCTGACAGGAAACCCCAGCAGCTCTGCCTGGCTGGGATCACGAGCCCCGGGAGGAGCTCTGTGCCTGTCCCACCTCGCCGCTCTCCTTGGCGGGAAGAAGCAGGAGACCAATGTTGGACTTTGACCAAATGCAGCTTTACTTCTCCAGCCACAGATTGCTCACAGCAGGGCTGCAGTGCAGGTTTACTGTCTCCCTCCTTGCCTTGATCTCAAAATTGCATGTGCAAGCTGGCAGGTTTGGGTAGGTGTGGTGAGAAACCTTTAATGGGTTTTAGTAGCTTTGGGTATACATAGCTTTTCTGGAGACAACATGCTATTAATGCCAAATCCATTTTTAAAGTAAGGCTGCTCTTCCTCAGCACAAATTACAGAGGTGTTCCTTCCCTTAGCAACAGGCAGGAGGCTGAGGTAGGTTTGAGAGCTGGTTGTGGAATTAGGCTTTAGCTGCAGCAGCAGAAGGCAGGGCCAGCTCTGAAGTCAGCTTTAATACTTTCAGGGACAGCTTAATTTGCTGCAACAAAAAGCAGAAGCTGTCACCACCTCCACTATTTGTTTCAGATGAAGCAGGTTACAGAAGCCTTTCTCCACAGCAGTGGGCTCTGCACTGTCTCACTGCTCCCCTGGGCCTCCACCAGGCAGTGCTGGGGGACTGGAAGGGATAAGGAAACATATGGCAGCTCCGTGGTTTGGAGGGGAAGCCTGGCTTTACAGTCATCATTTAGCAGCAGCAATGTCAGTGAATAAGCCAGTTGGAGGGAGGGACAGACCACTTGGCTGCTTGTTTTTTAAAGATGCTCAGCTGGGGTCCTCTGCTTACAGTAGGGAATATATCTGGCCCTTTTTAAGTAGCTGAAAGAGCTGTTTATCTTACAGTAGAGAAGAGGGGACTCTGCTCTTTATCACCTTTACTGAGACTCTGCATCCAGGCAGTGGCACTCACCCCATGCATGTTTTTTTTTATTTTGCTGTAGGGGGAAAGACCTGAAGGAGAAGCACGAGCAGAAGGTTTACGAGCGGGAGATGCAGCGCATCACGCTGCCCCTGTCCGCCTTCACCAACCCCGCCTGCGAGCTGGTGGAGGAGAACACCATCGTGGTGCACACCACCCAGACCCCCGTGGAGGACACGGGCAGCGGCCCCCTCATGGGGCAGGCGGGGACTCCTGGTGCCTGAGAGGCTCGGGCAGGACATACAGGCTGAGCAAAGCCTCCAGCTTCCCACTGTGAGTGCAGGGGGTGCGTGTGTTCATTTCTGTTTTGTTTTCTTTTCGATGAACGCCGGCTGAGGGTGAGGCAGAGGAGCAGAGCAATGGGCTATTCATCACCATCTGTTGGAGGGGCACCATTCAGTGCAGGACTGCTGGGGACTGGTGTGGTGGACCCTGCTGCTTCCTCCCACCTATCTCCGTGGTGTGCCAAGGAGCTGGGGGGGATGATGAGCCAGGCTCACGACTGGCCACAGACCCCATAGCCCAGAGTGTGGTCTTGGCTTCCTCTTTTTCTGTTCCTTTCCTATTTAATGGTGTGCACTGTTTCTTAAGTTTCAGCCTGGAACCCCAGGAGGGAGCAGTACTGCAGGGACTGAGGGGAGCTTCACGTCAGACTTAGCTACATAATTACACTCTGATTATAGTTCCTGCCTTTTTGCTTTAGTAGCTGAGAGCTGGAAACACTGTCCAGAATCCTGCTACTGGATCAGGTTTTTTTTTCCAAGGAAGAGTTTATTTGAGGGATGTCTTTGGCCAGGAGCAGTGTGTTTAGCCCCAGTGTCAGTTTGGAAAAGCTCTCCTCTAGCTCTTGACAAATCCAGGTCTTCCAGGGCTGAGGCCACATCTCCATTCCCCTGTGGTGCTACATGCACAGCCACAGTTTAGGTGTCCAGGTGGTCTGTATGTGCCTCCTGCTCACTTATACAGATCAGGAGACCAAGGGCCAGCAGTAGATAGTTGTGAAGAAAACAAACTGCCCTTCAGTTACTTAAAACAGGTTAAACACTGAGGATAGATAACATCCTCTCTGGAATTCCCTTGGCTTCCTACAGAGCCAGTGCTGGACAGAGTGGCCAAGCTGTGGAGGTCACCCAGATCACAGTGCAGCAGCTCTGGCTCCAAGGGCAGGACAGGGCAGTTGTTTTGTAAGATCCTGAAGTCATGGCGTGGCTCCTGGCCCAGCCTCTGCCACACACACTCAGCTTGTGCAGCAAGACTACTTACAGAGCGTGGCCCTATTAGAGAGGTTTTGTAACAACTTTTATTAGCATTTCAGGGGGTTTGGAAGGGATGGTTGCTGCAGTGTCTCCCAAGTGGCACCAAGGCAAGGCCAGTTCAGGGAAACACCCGTCCCCACCTCAGGGGATTCAAGCCATTCAAGTAAGTTTTCTAGCCATCTGCTTTATAGCTGTGGGCCTAACAGGGAGCAGCACTTGGCAGCAGGGGTTTTAGTGTTAATGTTTGATTCAGAAAAGGGAAATGTTTTATTTTTAAATGCCTTTGAATACCATTTCTTTGTAAAATGTTTTAAATACCTCATTATGAGAAGGTGCAGACTGTGCTACCTTGTATTAAAGCTTAAAAGAAAAATGCTCTGTAGACCTGTGTGGACTGTGGCTCATCTGTGCATTCCCCTGCCAGAGCAGCACCTTTCGGCTTGTTGCAGATTGAACTGAGGAGAAAGGAAGACGCCACTTCAGTTTGCCAGGCCCAAAAGTAAATCCCTCAAGCAGTGCCTTCCCGCACCGGCACTGACACGGGGCATGGAGCTTGTCTCCTTGCTGCCAGCAGCTGGTCTTGGACTGGGACACTGTTCCTGAAAAGCAGCTGGTGACTCAGCAGCCTGGCCCGTGGGAAGACACTCGTGGTTACAGCCCCTTCCTGACTGACACGGGTCAGTTCTGCTTTGGTGCTGCTCAGCAGCAGCTCCTTCCCTTGGGAAGCACGATGGAGACGGAGCACAGCGCGTTACAGGAGGCACTGACAGAGCATTTTGGTTCAGTTGTTGTCTTAACAAATGCCCCTTGGACCCCATATTTCAGAATAAGAGGTTTCCAAGAACAGGCTGTATTTTTATCCCTGCACTAGAAAAGGAAAACGTAAGGAGGCTCCATGTTCTGCTGTCTCCCGTCCACCCTTAAAAACCAACCAACCAATGAACAGAACTAAACAACTTCTCCAGGTAAATAGTCCTACAGAGCCCTTGCACTGTGACTCTGCAGTTCTGTGAATGTGGCAGAGCCCACTGACTCAAAAAGGATGTTTGAGATGGTACCTCACCGGGGCAGTTTTGATGTTGCCATGTTGTGACTACAAATGAAACCCGAGACAGTTACAGCTTCCGGCTTTATTGAACACAGAGACCACAAAATCTCGTTCTTATAGCATTCACTTACTGCTTTTTAATTTAGAGCGTGGAGCTGTGCAAATCACAGTTCATAAACCCCACCCACACATCACCCAGGACTCTCCCCTTCAGGAGTCCCCTCACAAACCAGCCTGGGAGGGGGAATGAAAGGGCAAATCCTATTAATAATGCTGAATCCACTGGACCCAGTTTAGTGAGGCTCCTCCACTGACTCACAGCACAGGGAGTCCCCAGTGTTTCTAAAACACCACTACATAGACTAAAAACACCTCCCCTTGCACACCTGTTGTCATGTGATGGCTGGTCCCATGTTTTTTTACATAATACTTTAAACTCATGGGTAGGGGGAGGAAATCAAAGTAACAGCAAAGACTAACACCCATTCCCCACCATTCAATGCTGAAGGGAGGAGGGGGGAAAAAGGAGCACACTAGAAATGCAGTTAAGAGCAGGACTTGATCCAGCTTTTGGTTCAGTTCTGCCAACCACATGAGCTACTGCAGCAGTAGCTTTATTTCCTCTCCCACTAAGGGAGGAAGAGAAGTACTGGAAGAAAATACACCCCCACCTATCTCCCAATGACTCCAAGCCCTTTTTTCTCCCCCAAAGCAGGGAATGACCCTGAGGAAAGTTTCTGCTTGGAGAATCAGTTCAGGTGCTGCAGCAGCAGCTGCAAGAAGGACCTTCAAAGGGAGCAACTTGCACAGTCTGCAGGAAAGGATGAGGTAATGGCAACTGAATTACTTGTTCTCCAGCTGCCACTCCAGGGAGGATGGAACATTCTCCAGCACTTCTCTGTTCATGACAAGTCCATCCTTTAAGTAACCTTGGGCAAGTCCCCCGTTGCTGTTGTCCATGCACAAGGTCTGAGCCACTTCAAACCTTTGGCTTTCGGACGAGCACCTTCTGCCACCCTTTCTGTCACCTCACGTCCACAGGCCGGGAGCTCAAGCAGCTTCAGCACTCCAGGAATGTCCCCAGCCAGTGCCTGGTGCGGTTCTACATGTTCAGGTTCAAACACCTTCACCTGGGTTAAAGTTTGGGGCAGGCAAAATCACTGCAGGCGTGGGGTCTGAAGATGCCCCCGTGGCTCATTTGCTGCCAGCCTCATTCACCATTGGAGGGGCAAGCAGAGCTCAGTCTTAGTGTTTCTAGGCAGGCTTTTGGAGGTATTCTGACACAGGGAAGAAAACCACAAAACCAAAACAAAAATTCATACATGCTTCCCCAGAGACAAGGTAGTTCAGGAGAGCTGCCCAGTTCCTGGGGCTTTTCACTCTCTCCCCGATGCATGTGGGAGGTCAGCATCTCAGTGAGTTGTTCTGGGAAGCACATGCACAAACACACACATGTGCTGTCCTGGTGGGGCATTTTGCTGGATGTCCAATTTTCCCAGCTTTCTGAGCAGGGCAGTCAGTGGGAGAAGCAGTTCCAGAAGTGCTGGTCCTTACCCAGGAGAGTCTCCTATAGCAATTCCCCCCGTGGCAGACAGGCCAGGGTGGCTTCACAGCTTGCAGCCAAGTTCTAAGGCACCACAGTAAAGAAGCCTGAAAAGGCCAGAGAAACATTTCTCAAGCCAGAAAAATAGTGTTGAGCAGCTTTCCTAGGTGCAGTTGGCAGGAAACAGCCCTTTTTGCTTCTGAAACACGCCAGAAATCCACAGTGAATCAGGATGTCCAAGAGGAGGGGCACTGGGTGGGGAGAGAGAGGCAATGCAGCAAATGCACAGCGTGGTGCCCCGTTAATGCCCTGGAAGTGGCTGAAGTGCATCTCCCTCCCTGACACTCATCCCAGCTCCAATGGAAGTGATGCAGGCAGCAGGAAGAGCGGACTAGGTGGTGTTCTCAGGTAGCTTGTCCCGGTTCAGTCCATACTGCACACTCACATTGTGGTCCAGCTCCTCCAGCTCAGAGGGAAGGGGGATGGCAAGTTCTCCAAGGTAGAGAGAGAGCGCTTCAAAGGAATCTTCCAGCTTGGAAAAAGGGGGCCTAGAAGCAGCAGTGAGGAAATGTGAGTGGGGAACAGGAAGAATAACAGCATCTGGAAAGGCTGAGCCCATTGTCCTTCCAGACCACTCTGCCACGTACTAAGCTGTGAGCAGGGACATGATTCCCTCCCCATTCAGCTTCCGAGACTGCAAAGCCCCATTTTTACAGCCAGTGATCAGGCTCTGGCTCTTTGGAACCCACTTGGCATCAACACTCTTCTGAATCTACAAGTTTCACAACTGAAATCAATTGAAGTATTCACCTTGCTGCCGAGGGCTTCCCCTACTTTTGGTACCTGAGGAGCCCCAAACAATCACTGCTCCTCCTCTATGCTCTCTGTCTTGGAATTGTTTGAGAGATCTTCACCATATACAGTGGCCTGTCTGCCAAACTGATGAGTCTTAATTCTCTGCACACACGGACGCCTTTGAGCATTCCCACAGAAGGCTGGAACTGCCCTCTGTGCAGAGCAACCTTTCCACCATGGGGATACAGACACAATCCTGCAGGCTTACAAGGAGGAGCCCTCCAGACCCCAAACCTACCTGCTCTCTGGCTCCAGTCTGCAGCAAATAGCAGCCAGAGGGAAAAAGGCTGGAGGACAGTCAGCAGGAACAAACTTCTCCCAGAACAGCTTGACATTAAGGCCAAAATCCAGTGTGCGTGGGAGACAGTCTGGGTCAGCATAAACCTGGCCTATGATCTAGAGAAAAACAAGAGAAGCACTTCAATACTGCAACAGGTCCAGAGTGTTAACAGAGAACTTCAGCATCAAGCAGGGGCTCCTTCAAACTATTATGGTGGAAGGGAAAGAACAGAAACACTGTTCCTCCTTTCCAGTGGGGCCACTGGAGGCCCAGACCGCTTCTCCTTCTGCCCAGGGTCTCTCTGCCAGAAGACACAGGATGATGTGCCCCTCCAGAGAGCTTGACAGTGTCTCACTGCTGGGGATGATGCAGCCCCTCATGACTGCAGGTGATCAACAGAACCTGCACCACCATTCCACCTCTGCCCCGCTGTCGCCCCAGAACTCACCACCTGCAGCACGAGGGCACTCACAGTGTAAGAGAGGGAAGGAGCCCAGAGCAGAGCTCTGGGGTGATCTGGACTCACAAGGTCAGTGTCAATACAAACTTTCACATGGACAGAGTATTAGGTTTAAAGCCTCATCGGGTGTCACAAAAAGGGTGTTATTTATACCCACCCAGGCTTTTCTATGCCAATAACTCACAGCAGGGCAACCACATCCTGTAACTAGACAGTGGCACACCCAGTATGTGTTTTGGCAGGGTTATTTCCTTATCTGAGTGTAGAGCTTTTTTTTTTTAGCATTGTTGTTTTGGGGACAAAGAAAACGTTCATGTGCTCCTACCCCTTTATTTGTCTTTTTTTTCCTGAATGAAACAATTGTTTTAATCCCACATACAGATTTTTCAAGTTCCTAAATCTATCACTCACAACCACAACATTCTCTGAGAGGAGGGCCCAGAGTAAACAGAGCTCCAGATGAGGCCACAAAGATTTATGCACAGACATTTGCTTTGTCCCCTTCATCCAAACGCTGAAGATGAAACTGTGCTGGCATCCCCTGGTGTTCCTGTAACTGCTGTGTCACACATAACACCCTGCCTTTCATCTGTATTTCCACTGCCATACACACCTTTTAAATTGAAAATACCTTGTGGCTTTCAAGCGGTGCTTATTGTTCTGCAGACAGAAAACCTGATAGAACAGTCAGACTGTGCATTGGCTCAGAGATAAACTAAGCCCACAGACTTCAGGGGAGAGCTTCATTAATCGACCTGCAAAGAGGTTTCTGCTTCCCTTCCTTTGAAGTGAAGTGCCACCCCCAGTGGAGGCCCTGAATTTGCTGAGATTATGCAGATGATTGTTCTTTCAATGAGGCAGTAGAAAAAGAAAAAAAGTATCACAGTTCTGGGGAATACTTTCAAATGGATACCAGGGCTCAGTCAGAACTTCATGACTTTTTTACAGCTTCTCTCAGTCCAGGAGGAACCTCTGCACTTCTTTCAGTCCAAGAAGAAACTGGGACCAAAAAACTACAAGACAGTTACCTCCCTTGAGGAAACAGAGGCAGGGTACACTTGTTCTCCCAGTCTAATTCACTGATAATATGCTGTTAGGTCACAGACTGCACACTCAGACACAGAGACCTGGCTGATACCATGTGTGCAAGGAGATGGCAGTGGGCAAAAGGGCCATTAAAAATGCCATGTCACATCCTTGTCTTACCTCACAGAGAACAATCCCAAATGAAAAGATGTCCACCATCTCATCGTAGCTCTGTCCTGCAGGAAACATAAGACAGTCAGCTCTGTAAGAGACAGTTGCCCATCCAGCTATTCCAGGAGCTGCCAGTGCAAAGTTTATCTAAGCCTATTCCCTGGAGGGCCCTAAAATAGGTGACAAAGCAAAGGCCTAACTCTGAGCAGGGTGAGTCACCCCAAGATATGTACATACCAATTGCACCTTCCCAGACACTGCCATCACAGATTTTAACCCTGCTTCTTTCTTATCCTGGGGAATTACAGGACAACAGGGGGAAGTGTGTTGTACAGACCTGTGTATCAGCTCTGAGCAAATGCTAAGGATAACTGTGGGAAGCTTTTGTCCATTCCCCTTGATTGGTGTTCTAATGCATCTCCACAGTGCTCAGTGCTCAGCTTCTGCAGCAGGCAGCGAGTGCCGGGTCCCTCTGCAGTGACTGCAGGGATAATAAATTACACACCGGCAGCACTTTGATCCTAGGAAAGCAGGCAGGCTCCAGCCTGCCATGCTCTGCTTACAGACACACCCTGCCCAAGCCAGTATCTGGTAAACAGAGGTGATGTCAGACTGTGCTCTTGCTGTTCTCCTGACAAATGCCAGGACTGAGACAGGCTCTGAGAAACAGCCCCAGACTCCTGGGCTCTCCAAGGCTCTCAGGCCTTGAGAGAAGGTGAACAGAACAGCGCACAAGAAAGCAACAGGGAGAAGAACTGAGCTGAGGGAGAAGAGCCCAGTCCTCCCTTCCCTGCTGGACTATGCTGGACAGTGCTGATACCCCAGCCAGCCAAACTGCCCAGTCTGATCAGACAGACCTGCTCGTCAGGAGGAAACTGTGTCCACTGCATTCCCTCACCTCCACTCCTGCAGGAGCAGCTTTTCCTAAGGTCACTGCTCAACCTTAATGCAGCTGAGGGCTGCGTGCCAAAACCCTGATTTCCCTGCACTTGGACAACTCCCACCTCAATCCTGAGGCTTCTGCAAACCTGGCAGCAGATGGCTTCTCCCTGGATCTACACAACAGCACACATAAGCCTCATCCTGGAGTTTAACGATGCCCTGTTTCCAGGGTAGTTCCAAAGCATGAGGCTGTAACAGCAATTGATCTCAGGTTCAGTCTTATCTCAGGCCTCTTTTGTTTTCTCTGTTATCTGGATTATAGGAAGCTTACATCCATTGCCCTCCTGAAGAATCCTGTTGTCAAGCCAGAAACATGGGCTGGCACAAAGGCTTACCAGGTCAGGTACTGCAGCTACAGCACTTGTGTGTATAAATAAGCTTCCACATTAGCAGGTCTAAAATCACAGGCTCTAATAGGTTTGATTGTTACTGGGGCCGGAAGCTTTCAGTAATCCTGTCATCCCTGTACCCTGTCACAGCTGTCTCCTCACCTGCTCCTGCTCTGGGATCTTACCATTGAGCATCTCCGGGGCCATCCAGTACGGGTTCCCCACCACCGTGTAGCGCTTCTTCCTGTCGCTCTTGCGCAGGGTTCGCTTCTTGGCCGAGGGTTTCTCCAGAGTGGGCTTTTTCCTTTCCTCCACAATCAGCCGAGACAGACCGAAGTCGGCCACCACCACCGTCTTATCCTGCACAAGGGATTGAGCACAGCCCACTGATTACACTCGGCTCCTTTCAGGAGCAAAGAGGCTGCAATTCCTGTTCGCTTCCAACTACACTGTAAGGGCAGCTATTCCAGCTCTCCTGCAGCCAGATGAACATACAAGATGTGTAGACAGGTGTAAGATACCAATTCATGATCCCAACCCATCATTTCCTCCCTTCATTGCCTTATTTCCCATGTGGTCATTAACCCTTATCCCTTCAATTTGGCTACACTTGCTAGGGCAAACCTGGACCTTTCCTTTCAGAGCTTCCTCTTCTACCTGGCCAAGAACTAACTTGGGCTTTCATCCTTGGTCGTTTTTTTACCCACATGCTAATCTCCTATCCCAGCCAAGTGAACAAGGGCAAGGTTTGAGGGAATGAAGCCACATAAAACTCCTGCGACCCAGCATTTCAAAAAGAGAGAGCACACACGTGCACACCCACACACACTTGTCTGAATCCTGAGTGCCAATAAAAAAGTCATCAAGTGGTTAAAAGAACAGAAGCAGCTATAGAGAACATCTCATAGTGGAGATAAGGAACAGAGCTGAACTAACTCTGATGACTGTTACAGGAGTTGCTACCAGGGGAAAGGGGGTAAAGAGAAACAGTGAAAGCCAGATCAGTCTGGAAAACCCTGTGTCAAGATGAAGCTCCCTTGTTTAGGGCACTAGAAGCCTCTCTGAAATCAGTTCTACCCTGACAAAAGAGGAAGCATCAAGCAGAGAAAACCAAGGGAGGAAGATGCCAAGGAGAGGAGCAGCAAGCTGTGGGAACAGAGGTGTAGCTCACCAACTTGATCAGGCAATTGTGTGAATTCAGGTCTCTGTGAATGATGCACATGGAGTGCAAGTAAGCCTGGAACAGAGGGAGAAAAGCTGGTGTTAGGGGTTCCCAGGAGGGCACATCCCCTCACCTTTACAGACTCGAGAACCTGATGCCAGTGGTCAGGCAAGGTCCACAGCCCCTCATACACCACCCTGCTGAAGCTGCTGACCCTGACCCCGGAGGTTTGCTCTGTGACAAAGGAACAGCCCAACTCACCATTCCAGAGGCAATCCCTTTGGCAAAGCTGACCTTCTGCTGCCAGGGAAACGGGTCCTGAAAGATAAGTCCTCAGTGGTCAGTACTATCTTACCAGCCAGCTGGTGACAGCAGTCACAGACACCATACAGCCCCGGAAAGAACAGGTTTCCTGCCTCAGGCCCACCCACAGCTAAGAAGCAGCTTTACCACAAGCAGATCAGCCTGGTACAACCAACCCCCCAGTCAGGCTCATGGAGTACAGCTCTCCCAGGAATCCCAACTCACTGCACTGCGGAGGAAGTCCTTCAGTGTGCCCCCCTCGATGTATTCGGTGAGCAGGTTCAGCTTCTTGTCCTTGTACAGCACCCCAATGAACTTGAGCACGTTGGGGTGGTCCAGGCTGCGCATCACTTTCACCTGGAGGCAGAGACATCCCACCCCAAAGAGTGAATGGAACAAGTCCTGACAGATTGCTCTGTGGTGACAAGCTCTCCAGTGCTGAAGGTCCCCTCCAGAGATCGCAGAGAACACTCAAACCCCAACCTCAAGGCAGTCAGTTAAGTGTTGCCTCTTCATTTTCACACTGTGCATTTAACCTGATCTTAGTCATAAAGGAGAGCACCCTTGAGTTGGGCTAACTTTTCAGAGCCGGGAGCTCTCCAGGGCAGCTTTCAGCTCTGTACTGCAGGTGTCAGGGCTGGAACAGCAGTGTCAGGTGCTTAGGGAGCTGCCTTTAAGCTAAATCTGACTTTTAAAATCATCGTAGGCACCACCAAGAAGATAGATTAGCTTAAATACAGTGGGAGTCTTAAATATCTTATAGATATTGGCCCTCATGCTTTGTATTTATGCACAAGGCTCAAGGGATAAATCCTTTATGTACTGCACAGCTCAATTTGCCTCAGACTTGGACTGCTTTTTATCACTGAAAAATTAATGAACTGGGAGCTGAAGCCACATCTATTGCTCAGTGTGAGTCACACTTCACTGCAGCAAACATTCAGCTCATGGCAGCTTTTCCCCCTGCAGTGTCTCCCACCTCAGCACCTTGATTCCTGCCAGGTTGCTGGCAGGATCTCTCTCTCTGAAGAAGATGGAAGAGAGTTCCACCACACTACAGGCTCAGAAGCCTTTTTGAAGTCTTGCTCCTACCTCTGTCAAAAAAGTCTTCTGTGTTTCCTCATCACAGCGAATCAGCTCCTTCATCACCATCACCTTTCCCGTTGCTTTGTGAGTCACCTGGTGGAAAGAAAATCCACAACTACAGGCAAGGTTCAAGAATACACAATTCCAATGCTCCTGTAACTCTTCTGAAAGAGAAGGTAACATTCCCCTCCATCCAGAGAGGAGGAACAGAGGTGGGAGAAAATTCAGAGGCCAGGGATCTGCTCAAACCTGCGTGAAATTTCTCCTTTTGGAATTCAGCAGATTCTGTTTGTGAAAGAGAAACTACCTAAAGCTGTCAGAGGATCATGCCAAGAACCAGAGCTGAAGCCTCTTCTGCGTAGCACAGTGCTGAGCATGCACACAGCCTGCCAAAGCCTCTGGAGGCACCAGTTCCACACTGGTGCAATCCTTAAGTTCCCTTTGGGAAGCATTTGCCCAGCATGGTGCTCATGTCTTGTACACAGACCCCAACAACTCCATTCTGTATCAGCACAGGAATCAACGTAAACTTGCATCAGAAACCAAAGAACCCAAAACTACCTTACACTTGCTTTGGTTTTACGGGGAATCTCAAACTCATCCACGTGCAAGCAGAACTGGGATACACAAGAAGCAGTTATTTTACCTTGCTCCTCTGGAGCAGTGTCCTGCTGCCTGCAAGGAATGTCCCCAAATGGTGGCAAACACAAGGAAATCCATCATAATAATAAGGTAGTTCCTGGCATTTTGCTGTGTTCTAGAGGTTTTTTTAACCAGCTCAGCCTTGCTTGCATGAGGTGCCTGAGTGAGTAGAAAGGGTCCAAATTCCGATGAGCACATTCTCCTGGAAATCCTCTCCCCTCCAGTTGCTTAACTTGGACAGCTCTGTCTCCCTAAGATCTGCAGGGAACTGAACAACCACCTTGTCTCTAGGAACAGGAGGGAACTATTTGACCAGCAACAGTATTTGCTGCATCAAACCCAGTCAATCTGAAGCTTAAGAAAAGTGTCACTTTTTTTGCCTCCTACCCTTTAAAATAAAAAGCCTTTCAGAAAACCTCCAGAACTGCAATCCAGAACACAAGACCCTGTTACAGCATTTAGGAAGCTTATGAGCTCTTGCAGACACTAATTCTGTTTGGAACCATGGGACATAACAAGGCTGGTATAGGTGGAATGTGAGTGTGGAATAACATGGAATAACACAACAGAAGCAAGAGTACAATATTCTTCTGCTCCCATCTGAAATCAAGCATCCATACACAGGCAGCGAGCCAGGGAACACCACACATTTCAGCCAGGGACACGAAAGCCAGAGACATCTAAAACCCAAAGATAAAGGGCAGTGAACAGACAAAGACAAGGCTAAGTGGAATTCTTAAGCTGACATACCAGCAAAACTGAAACAAGTGTCATCATGAACCTCCAGGGGGGCAGTTTTAACTCCCAGAGCATGCACCTGAACAGGATGGCCATGGGGCAATTTGAGCAGAAAAGAAATGCCTTTGTGCCAGTAACTGTGGGGACACAGGTGACAAAAACATGCGACAGAGCAAAGGTTCCACTTACCTGCACCTGTTATTTCTCTATGAGCAGAGGAGAAGAGAAATATGCTCATTAGTATGGATCAAAAGCAGTGGGATTGTAGAACTGGCACATCACCTCCCGTGGAAGCATGAGATGCACATGGTGGCTGGACACCTCAAGGTTATACCCTTGTGCATGTAAGGAGAGAAGTCCCATATCATGGTGTGTGCAATCTCAGCCCTGAGGAGCTCACAGCACCTTAACAAGGCAGAGGAAGCTGCCCCCTGGTGTCAGGGATGTTGGGACAGGAATTGCTGGAGCACCCCGTCAAGACCCCAGAGCTTAAATGCAAGAGAACTGCTATTGATGGAGATTTTAGCTGTGAGAGTCATGCAAGACCTGACCACTACCCTCACACTGACAAGATATGTAGGTTCTGCTGTGAGTTCAGAGGTGGTCACGACATCAGCCTGGCAAACCCCAAGCCTGCCACACTGAGGGTGGGTGAGAAATGCTCAGGGGAGCTGAATGCACCTCTGCATAAGGAAGATTCTTGTAAGAGGAGGTGTAGCCTGTCACCCATTCTGTCCCCCTCACCCAGGCAGCTGCTGTGACACAGGCACTCCGGAGAACTAAATCTAACTCAGGAGATGAGCATGTGTGGCCAAGGTTGACACTCAGAGGAGACAAAGTCAAAACCATCTGCAGCCAGAGACACTCAGGGAATGAAACAGAAATGGATCTCAGAGCAACCAGGGAAGATCCAAGACCAGTCACTCTCAGCAAGGCAAACACCACTGAGACAGTGGTGAAGGATCCTGAGACAGGCAGGCATTGCTGTAATCAAAGTAAATGATGAATGTCTGGGGACCTCCTCACCTTGATAGCCTGTCCAAAAAATCCTTTTCCTAGAACTTCACCATGAATCAGGTCACAGGGCCGGAAGATTTGCTGGGAGCAGCTGGAAGAGGAGCGCAGGGATTCAGAACGACTGATGTCACGGCTCAGCAGGAGCGGCTCCTTTGGAGAGCTGGGGCCAGGAGACTTGGAGATGCTGTTACTTCGTCTAGAAGACAAAGAAGACAGGAAGATCAGGGAAGCTGCTGGGGAACGTCTGGTCCAACACATCCCATCCTTCACTCCTAAGGGACCAGTTTCTGTGTGTCCTTCAGTGCTCTTAATATCCCCAAAGCCAGATGCTCTCCCAGCACTGTGGAAGCTCTTTACGAACCCAGAGCAGATTCCGAGTCAGAGCTGCCTGACAACAACACACCTCCTGCACTGGCAGTCAGAGATGGAGCTCTGGGAAAAGGGGGAGGAAGCTGTGAAGACACAGCACTTGCTATCTCTAAACAAAGATTAAAACACTGGTAAATGACTAAATGAGCACCTGAGTGCCCTACTCTAGGAAGACAAGGTCTCAGTCAGATTCCCCTTAAGGACATATCCTTCCCCAGCCATTTAAGGCTGGTAAAAACCTGACCTTTACGTTTTCTAACTGTGAAACTTAGTAGCTTTTCTCTGTTAACAGTAGAGCTCCTTACTTTTATTAAGGAAAGTTTGTCATCCTGAAAGGGAATTGAGAGTACACATCAACAGCAGAACCCAAAGCTCTCCATGGCTTCTCCAGTGATTTATCCCACTGCCCACATCAGAGATAAGCCATGTCCCCACAGTCATGGCAGTCCCAGGGCCTGGGCACAGAGCTGCCCAGCCAGGGAGCACAGGGCAAAGCCAAGCCAGGCCAGAGGCAGTGCTTCCAAGTCTTCACCTGAGGGAGCGCCGTCGGAGCGTTCCTTCCAGGTTCTCCTTGATGTCCAGTGGAGAGAGGGAGCGTGGGGAGATGGGTGGCTTTATGTGGGTGGGCAGGCGGGAGTCCAGGCGAAGCCTGTCCAGGCGCTGCGAGACGGGGTCGTGCTCGATCAGCAGCTGAAGGGTCTGGCTGGTCTTGCGAATCAATTCCTCCACCTGAAGTCAAACCAAAGGACAGCATTGCAGCAGACAGGAGGAACACAAACAAGAGGAGACAGAGGAGACATAGAGAGTGCCCCTCAGGAATCAGAGGAACGAGTTCAGTGAGGTCACTCCATAGTTGTGGTTGTGTGCACCACAGCTGTCTGCCAGACAAATCAGACCAGCAGCACAGAAGCTCCTTATGCTGCCCACATCTTTTCTGTGTAGGTTACTTGTAGCTGACCAGAAAGATGTGGACAGGCTGGAAAGGGTCCAAAGAGGGGCCACAAAGATAATCAAAGGGCTGTGACGCTGCCACGTGAGAAAAGGCTGAGAGAATGGGGTTTGTTCAGCCTTGAGAAAAGAAGGCTGAGGGGAGACCTTATCACCATGTTCCAGTGTTTAAAGAGTGGCTACAAAGATGATGGAGACTCCCTTTTTACAAGGAGTTACGTGGAAAATACAAGGGGTAACTGGTACAAGTTAATCCTGGGGAGATTCCAAAAGGACAGTTTTTCACAAAGAGAACAATCAGCCCTTGGAATAATCTCCCCAGGGAAGTGATGAATTCCACAACATTGGACACTTTTATGTTTCAGCTGGACAGGGTGCTGAGCCATCCTCTCTAGACCATCCTTTTGCCAAGAAAGGTTGGACCAGATGATCCTTGAGGTCCCTTCCAACCTGGTATTCTATGACTCTATCAAATGATTTTTTTTCTGATAAGTGTTCAAAAACTACACAGGTTTCCACCTCAAACAGTGCTGTAAAAAACAGCTTTGAAAAAGCTACACAGAGATTTATCTGTGAGATGTTTTGTGCTCCTTGTGTTCTCTTCAGCACCAACAAAAACTTCCCCCTATGATCAGCTGGGGCCTTGTGAATTAGCAGTTCTCAAAGGCTCAGAAGAGTGCACTTCACTAGCAGTACATGGGAAAGTCTTCACAGCCTCTCTGTCCTCTCTCACAGCCCTGGACTTTTCTTATTGCCTCCCTTTACATTTGAATGCCACAAAATCATTCCTGCATCCTAATTGCATTTCCATCTGTTACATTTTCCTCTCCAGCTGGAAGGCAAAGCTTGTCCTCATGTTTATTCCTACTGTCAGCATGAGTACTAGGGCTGTACACACTGTGTGTAGAGGGGGAGAACAGTGTCAGGAAACAGAGAAGGTGTAGGAAGGCAGAGAAGGAGGCTTCAGAACAGAACTCCACCCACCTCCTCCACCTGTAAGGTGCGAATTGGAGCTCCGTTGATCTCCAGGATCCGATCCGCAGGGTGGATGGCGTTTCGGACATCTGGGCTGATGTGCATCCTGTTAACTCTAAACATGGGAATTACAGTGTGTGTGAGAAGTCAGTTTAGCCAAAATTATAAAAAAAAGCTTCCCTTCATATTGGCATTTTGCAATAAAACAATGCTAATCTACCAACACAGGGAGCTCCCACAAGACTGAGTGCTTAGGTCTGAGCTGGTTTGGAGAGAGCTCTCCATGACCAATGGCAAAATTGTTAGTCCATTACAATCCTCCAAATGTCTTGTGTCCAGTGAAGGAGACAGCACTGAGAGATAAAATTATCAGTTAAGGTGGTCACAAGACTGAAATGGAGACCAAACACAGGTGACAGACGTCCCTGCGACGCCGAGATCCCCTGAGGACAGCAGTGCTGCAGGATCCGTACCAGCTCCCCCTGCACAGACACGTCCATTGCACACAGCCTGGGCATACTCACTCTTTCACCTGGACACCAGTGGCATAGCTGGAGCAGCCCCCCTCCACAGACACGGAGAAGCCCCTCTTGCCATCTGTGGCCGCGGGCATGGAGATGAGGGTCAGTGTGTAGGGCAGCTGCTCCCGCAGGGACTCCGTGGAGTGCTTTTCTATCATGGGTGTCAGCACGATCTGGTTATGGCATTTCCCGCTGAAAGAAGCGAAGAAAGTCATCATGGCAGTGTCCTGTCCCTCCCTGCCAAACTCACACCTAAGTTCTCTCACTGACCACAAGCCACAGCTTTTAGTGCTTCCACCATTCCTTCTTCCCTCCCTCAAAAGGCAGCTTCCTGGCATTCCTTAGAGTAGCATTTGGCTGAACAGGGCTTACACACAGCAGGGAGCAGCTCCTCTTACCAGTAGAGAGTGGAATGTTGCACCAGTGCATAAGTGTCCCCATCCTCGATGATCACTTTGCAGCTCATACAAGCGAAGCACTCGGGGTGATACTTGTATTCGCCAGCCACCTACAGACAGAAAAGGGAGTAACTTAAGCAGGGCCAAAATCCATCAGCAGATGCAGCTCCTGCTTTCCTCTCTAATTAACGAGATCATTCACAGCTCAAAGTCAAGTAGCAGGTTTTTACTGGAGAGTTTTATTAGTCCGTTCTGTCTTTCCTGAACCCCATCCTTGGCACCTTGTTTGCAGAACTCCAAAACAAACATGTCAGCACGCAGAGCAAAGCTTGTGTCCCAGGGACCTCTGCTATATTTGGCAGCTGCTCAGCTATCAAAAATAGTTGATAGTCTGCTGGAGACTAGTAAACAAGGTATTAAACCTTCCTGTTCAGTTGCTCTTGGCAAGATAACTAATGTTACGCCTGAATTAATAAAGCTGAAAGGGCTTTTTTTTTTGGCAGATGGGCAATGCACAAATTCAGATGCTTTACCAGCCAGCTGACAGAGAAAGAGCAAACTGAGACTGAGACGAAAAATACCTTTAAAGAATATTTTTATTAATTGATCTGTTTTTCTGTTTTTCTTATGAGAAGTTCCCTTATTGACAGTATTCTGCAAAGACTTCTGCAGGCAATGAGAAATTGTCTGCACATTCCTCAGTGCTTCCCTTTGAGGTAGCAATGATATCACTAAGTACCACACTGCTCTTATTTAGGCCCTAGAAAAATAACGGTCATGTTTCATTCTTGACAGTTTTATAGGTTAAATATTTGCAAGGTTGTGGCAGGAGGGGAACATTTAGGTGAGCCCCATATTGTGCAGGCAGAGTTCAATGCTTCAAAAGCAACTTCAAGCCCCAAAGTAATTGGGGTTAACACTTTTTCGAGACACCATCAGCCTGAAAAACCACTCTGGCTGCAGCCCAGGTGCGACTTGGATGGCAACATTCCCCAAAGCCAGAACCTGCTGCTTATCCTGAGCCAAGAGGTTTGATTCCACAGTGCAGTGGAAAATCACCCTGTGCAAACACTGAGGCACTCACTGTGCTACAGAAACATGTCCCCCAAATCACTTTTCTGCTTCTCAGGCCTGTGCATTTCAGCACTTTACTTTCTTTGTTCATATGCTTCAGATCCTCATAGCTCCCCCATTCAAAACTAATCTTTATCTAGAAGATGCACACACAGGCTCCATTCCTATTATTTGATTAGAGAAGCAAGGAGACTGTTACCTTCAGTTTATTTGGTTATCTTTATACCTAGGACAACACCTAACTAAGTTTGAGAAGTTCAGGCAGGAATCCTTCTGTCCTTACCATCACAGGTCCAGTCATCAGCAGAGAGCAGCCATGGCAAGATTCCCCAAACTTCCCCCAGTAGTCTTTGTGACAGTACAGCTTCCCATCTTTCTCATAGTACCAGTTAGTGAGGGGATCCTGACATTCAGAGCACCTTGAAGAAAACAAAGGAACAAAGTTCCATTTGGCAACAAGTCACAAATCAACAAAAGAGATCCTGTCCTGCATGGAGAACACAGACATTCAGCAGTAGCTCACCAGCAGCTCTTCTAGTTATGGATGCACTAAACTCTACTGTTTCCCAACGCTCTTTCAGCTGAAAATTACACCCAAACCTGAGGTTTGTAAGGAGAGGTGGAATCAACCAGTACAAAGGAAGTTTCCAAAGTGTAAAGCAAATCCCACACATTAAAACACACCAGTAGGTTTACAAATTCTGCTTTATATTTTGTTCCTCTGATCTCTCTCTCTTCCTGGATGCAAGTTTCCAGCCACAGAGTTGCCCAGCACAGAGACAGCTTTGCTGTGTTCCTACTTGGTGTTTCTGTAGCATCAACCATACTGTGCCAGAGCACTTGTTTCCTCAGCTAGTTTAGGAAGGGGCACAGAGAGGCAGGATCCACTTCCCTGTGCAACACAAAGCCAGTTTTGCACCAACCTTTGTGGAAAGCTTTTCCATTCTTCTGTAAGCAGACCTCTCCCAAAAGGTAAACCACAGCACTCTGCATTTGAGGGAGAGTTTTCAAAGCAGTTCATCCCTTGAGCTCCACACACTCACTGCACCCACCAGTTAACTCTGAGAAAAGTCCTCCACCTCTCCCCACCAACTGCTCCCTTCTGATGACAGTGCACGAGAAAATAAACACCACAGGCAACCAGTGGAAAAAAATCCTAAACAAAACTGTTTCTCTAATTTCATGGAGTCTCAAAATCCTTCACATATCAGTGTCAGCTCCTATTTCCAAGCGACCATTATTAATCCTCTATCTACACCTCCTCAACAAACAAACAAACAACTCTCCCCCCAAAAAAAAAAAAAAAGAAAGAAAAAAAAAGAAACAAGAAAAAGATGCAGCAATTCTACTGCAGATACCTTTTAGCAATCACAAGCAGAACCCAGATGTTCAGGCTTTCCAAACACACAGTAATCCTGCCTCTTCAGCAGCACAGAGGTGTGACACAATGCAGAGATAAGGCACAGACAGCAGTTGCATCACTAAAGATTATTCATTAGCCCTGGGCAGCACGTTCTCAGACTTTAAAAGGAAAATAAGTCTGGTGTTGGCCATTTGTGAGCCGGGATCCCAGGTGGGTTAGTCACCAATAACCAGTTCCGAGAAACACCTCGAGGATCAATGTTGTCATTTCCCCAAAGGTGGAAGAGTTTCTTTTGCCTCTTACCCCAACACCTGTCCCAGTTACTACACTGGGGTGGGGGGTTAGGTCAGTGGGGATCCTCCCTCAGCACCCAGTGCACTTGAGTCACTGGTGGCACTGGAGGTGCACTTTTTACATGCTCCCAGGGCTAAGATGAGAGCTACTGTTCACTTCACCTCTCACAAGCTTCCCAAAAGCTTATTTGTGCCAAAGACATTCCTTGTACACTCCACCAGTTGTAATGAGCGTGATGATATGTGAAGCTGGTTGTGCTCCAACACTGAGTTATTTGCTCCATCTCAAGAGACTGCAAAGCAACCGGGTAAGGCTGCTCGTAAGCAGCCTTTGGTTTTAGGGGAAAACACCTCATGAAGTACTTAGTGCCGTACCCTACCCTCAGGAAGACTGCTCCTTCTAACATATTTGGCTTATACAGTGTTTGTTCTCCCAGCTGAGGAGCATCAAATCCTGCCCCCCCTCCAAGTGATGGGAAAGAACTTCAGCTCGTGCAACAGGCCCTGCCAATTTTGTCTGGAGCAGAGGGAGCAGTAAGTCAAGGCTGCTGTAGGTGGTACATCCATCACTGCAGCCCCAGCCTGGGGGCACTGCCGTGGTTACACCCTGCTCATGGTATGCAGGAGACCCAGAGGGCATGGCAGTGCTTCTGCCTCCAACCACCGGCCTTCGGCTTCATCTGCAGTAAATACCCCTCGCTGAATGAGCAAGGGGGTGAGTGGGAGGGAGAAAAGAGCAAGTGGAGACTAACAGCAAAGATTTCTATCGTCTTGTGGCAGGAACATCTGGCTCAGCACGGGCAAATCGGATCCCTCAGACTTATCCAACTTCTGCATGCATGCCTGTACCAGTGTGTGCTCCACGAGTGATTACATCTTCCAGCAGGGAGCTGTGACCAGACCTGCACTTGAGATGCAGACAGCAATGCTGGAGACTGCTCCACCAGGACTTCAACACCTGGCTTTCTGTCTAAGTTCTCTCCAACCAGGTGGGTTATTTATTTGTTTTTAGGCACAACACCTTCCCTTCCTCGCCCCTCTTCAATTTCACCTTCAACCACCCCTTTTTCTCCCTAAGAAAATCTAAAATTTCTGCAAAAGCAACACAACTTCAACTCTGTTTAGGTGGGCTCCAGGGGATTATGTGCATTTGTCTGTCCTTTACCTCTCTTCTACTTCTCCATGGTTTGATTCAACCTCACAGCACTTGGGTTTTTTTGTTTCCATCCGGAAATAAGCACTGGTATCTAATGTGAAACACACCCATAGCAAAACGAAGGTGAGGAGGTGGAGCCAGCAAGCAGTCAGTTCTTTGCTATGTAATTAAACAAATCTGGGCAGGACAAGTTTGCAGTTTAAGGCTCAGAACCCCACCCTGGGCAATGAGGCAAGAGGAACAGAGTCCCAGAGAGGCTGGATGCTGAGAATGGGCCTAACTGGCTGCTTCCTTAATCTCTGCCAGCAACAGGACAAGGCTGCAGCCCACAATGCCAAGCAGCACCTTTGTTACTTACCATGCATTCTGGAACCTAGGACAGGCTTTAGGTTTGACAGGTGTGGGACACTGGCTGACAGCACAGGTATGGTTTCAGTGCCTCGGCCCAAATGATAAAAGCATCACATGGTTGTTCCACATGGCTCTCGCTGACGAGATTGTTGAATGTTATCATGTCAGAATTTTATTACAGGTGATACAACTTCTTCCTTTCCCTCCTCACTAGAGCTGTGGCATTGCAGCAGGGCTCACATCAGCTGAGAGAGGAACACAACTACTGCTGCAAGTATTTAGCAAGCTACCCTTTGCCAGTCACCATGACCAAAAGAAAGGAAGATTTCATGCTCCTCCATGCTAGTCTTTTATAGATTAGAAACCACTAATCTTTTCCTCGATGATTTGCTGTTCTTATTACAGAGTAACAAACCATGGCAATCAAGTTTCATGGAGGACTGGTAACAGCCATACCTGACGTGTTTCCTCTTGCTGCCCAGCCACCATTTTCAGAGCCACAGAACCCTGCTCTCATTATACAGACCAGACATTATGATTCTTCACTTCCCAGCCTTGGCTACACAAAATAAATTAATCTGCCTCCCACGGCCATCCCCCAGGAACCCCAGGCAGCATTTGGGTGCAGTGCTGAGTCGTGGTGATCTGCAGAACAGCAGGTGCAGAAAGAGTTCACAAATCGCTGCTGGAGGGACTCTCGGTGTTGGGGGGGTGGCAGGAGGATCAGGTCACAACAGGTAACCAACCTGGTTTCAATTGATGTGCCATCTCTTTTACAGCTAGATGAAAGCCAATACCCTCATGGAAGCAAAGACTTCCCTGGCACTGAAGAGACAGATCCCTTTGAGAAGGGCTCATTAACAAAATGCCCCCCTCACACTGACTGTCAGGCCGGATCAGTTAACGCTACACGGGCTCGGGAGAGCCCTGGTTCCAATCCTGCCGGCAGAGCTGGGGGAGCACAGCCACACAGACAGAAAGCTGCAGGATAAAGCACAGCCCCAGCCTGCAGCTGACCCAAAGGCTTACTCACCCGGGCTCAGCAGGAGTGTGTGCACTGCCCACGTAAGAGACACCAGACAGGGAAGAACAGATACTAGAAAACAGAATACTAGAAGACAGAGTGTTTAAGCTCTGACTATGCAAAACCATTTCCACACACTTAGGAGAAGGTGTATCTATGGCTTAGCATAATACCCTACGCATATTACAAATAATGAATGTCTGCTCACTTTCCCTCTTCTGAAAGCAGATGCTGTTTCAGAAAGTTGCCTAAAGAAGCTCAGCAAATGCACAACAATATTTACTCCTGTCCTAGACCGCTTCAACAAAAGGTTCCTTACTCCCAAATCAGCACAAAAGTGTTTGCAGAACAGGATCAATAACAAGCAAATCCGAGCAGAGGGGATAGGAGGGAGACAATGAAAGTGCAAGCTGTGCTTTTCCTCATCCATCCACCTCATCAGCACATCAGTCACCAGCCCGGCTGTGTTCAGCCCCACTAACTGTTCTCACCACCGAGATGCAAAGCAATCAAAGCCTTATTCTGGAGCTATAACCTTTCTCGAGCCTCATTTGTTCAACTGGACCTAGAACAAATAAAAATTGAATAAACCAAAATACCCCAGAAGAACCCTTTCCACGTAAGGGAAGTGTGCTGCTCATCCCTAGTTACCCGCGAAGTACCTGATTTCTTTTCTCGAACAGGATTATGTGCTGCCTCGCTGCAGGTTACATCACCTTCCTGCACTCCCACAGCAGCACCTCAGCTCACCCTGTGCTGTGCCCAGGCACAAGGAGCTTTGGAAGAGAAGCAGCAGCAGCCACAGTAATCTCATTCCTGTGCCAGTGAGCAAAGCACGGGGCACTGGGCACAGTGGCACATCCCGTGCTCCCTGCCTGGGCTACGCACACACTGGAGCCGCTCCCTCCAGCCGAGAGCTGGGAAGGGGTTGGCAGCAAGAATCTCCCCTGTTGCCTCCTCAAAGCCATACAGGATCCCAGTTTGAGGCCGGCTGTTCCCGGCACACAAGCACTGACCTCGTTCTTCACACACTGACGCTATAGGATTCCATCACAGGAGGGAAAACAACACTCTGGAGGTCCAGTGTTAATCCTGGGCAACACTTACCGAAAGGGATCCTTGGGAGCGAAGTAAGCTGGGGCAGACAAGTAACTTCCCATCTTCAACACTGGATAAACCGGCTCAGCCACAAACTCGTCCAACTGCCTCTGAACAGCTCTGTTCTGCCAACATGGCAGCAGCCAGGGCTCATTTACTCTTGCGCTGATTCAGATACTTCACCTCTCTTTGAAGCTGCCCAAGGAATGCCAGGTCTCTCGGCTGCTCATTCCTTTTCAGACTTTTCCTGGCTCCCATGGCTATAACCATCTCCTCCCGCACTCCGCAGCAGCAGCACCTCGGGAAGGACAGAATCCCTGCTAACCGGGCTAGTTGGACATGCTGCTGCAGTGGTTCCTGCGAGCTCTGCCGCCTGCTAACTATTGTCAAGTTTTCCCTTCCCTAGTTCCACCCAAGGGTGGGAGGGGAGGAGGAGCCATGGCAGGCGGACAGCGGCGGCTCCAGAGCCTCAACAGGCTCTGCTCCTTCACAGGGGTGGAGCTCTGACCCAAAGAGGGGCTGCGTATTCAGTGCTGAAAGAGAGCGGCTTCGGCCACAGGATACAAGCACAAACACGTGAAGCTTCTCTTTGCAGCAGCGGCACATTCTGATGGAGAATTCAAGGAAGACAACGAGCCGCATCTCCAAACACATCAAATTAATGTTTACTATAAACATTCCTAAACCCCGCACAGTGAGTGGGGTTGTACTGCCTTCACAGCACCTACAGTCCCTTCACCCTCTTGCAGGAGGTAACTCACAGTGTGCTGCAGCCAAGGAAAAATAGCTTCCTTTCCAACACTGTTTTAACAGAGATCATTACAATCCTTTAACCTAATCTTCATCTCCTGACTGGAAGCTGAGGTATAAATCAGCACAGAGCACTCTCTCTCCCGCTCGCAGCACATACAGTTGTATCATTGTGCTCGTCTGAAGCCAAGCATGATCTCTAGTGACCTAATCAGCTAAAGCTGCTCGCAAGACACTCAGAAATGCACCAAACATGTGCTGCTGCACCGAGCCCGCCCCTTTCTGTACAGTCAGCAAAGCCTGGCATGCCTGAACACAGCCTGCAAACCGTGCTCTGTTCCAGGGGCAAGAGACTCCAATGTGCTTTTCCTGGAGATGCTCGTCTCAGCTGGCACACTGTTCCAGGGACGCTTGGGGCTGGAACAAGGCAGGCTTGGCTGCAGATTTGACAGCTGCTGCTCGCTGTTGAAGTAAGCAGAAAGCCAGGCAGCTTTTTGGATTTTTTTTTTATTTCCCCCTCCCCCCCTTTTTTTTTTAACTTTTAATAAGCAGGCACCTTTCGGAAGGGAAAAAAGTATCCCCATTTCCCCCACTGAGTGCAGTTTGTAAGGCCGGCTGTAAAAGCGCAGTGAAGCCCAGTGCTGCAGAGCCCGATGTGCTCGGCAGTTCCAGCACGGGTCTAATTCCTTCTGACATTTCACACAGCTCGACTGGAAGCAGCAACACGGTGAGTCTGTGTCTAGGAATGCGCTCTGGTCTCCCACATTCTCTATATGTTGCGTGCTGAAAAGGGGCCAGCGCTCGCGATCCAGCGCTTCCCCGGCCACCGGCACCTCCCCACCGCGCACAGACCCCCAGCCCCGCCGAGCCCTCCCCGCCCGCCTCACCTACAGACAAAAGCTTTGCCCCGCAATTCTGCTGCCATGGGCTGAACGCCCTCCAAGGGGGATTCCACGTGACCTCATAAATCCCAACTCTTCAGACAAAACCTTTGAAGATTTGATCCACAGATGTGATAGGCAGCCAGCTAGTCTGTGAATGAAGCCAGCAGATAAAGCCCAACTTCAAAGTAATAAAAACCACCCAGACAGCTAAGCAACTAGGAAAGGATTTTGTTTAAGACTTCCTTAAAGCCAAAGGACACATAGTCAAATGTCTATTTAAACAGGAAACATCTTATCAAAATGATTTTACTTTTGCAGCGAGCCCCAGCAGCAGCAGCCAGTAAGTTACTTTTGGCTACACAGAATTCTCTTGTTACTTCTTGCCTTTTCTGTTGTCTCTATGACCTATTTGAGAACACAATGTCTCTGATAAAAGGGCTCTGGAAAAGGTGTTAATGTGTTCCTACATTCTAGATCTGAATTGCTGCCAGAATGACTGTACTTCAAAAATGCTGATAAACAGGTGTGTGTGGGGAAGACTTTTTCTGTGTCATTTCTGGGGGGCCACAATGCACCGAAGCAAACTTCTTTTTCACCAGGTGAAGTCAGACATCAGCATTTTCTCTCTCGCAAACGCTGACAGCATTTCCACTACAAACAGGTTGCAATCACGGGAGGGTTTAGAACTGTGCAGTAACTTTTGCCAGAAGGGCTATAATAAATAAAAAACACATGAAAAACCTCGACAATGACTTACATGATATTTATCACCAACTGAGTCGCAGGCATTAGATTTATCCCCACGGAAGTCCATCACACAGCTACCATGATATATCTTAACCGAGCTGGGGTTGGGCTGAAGCTCTCAACACCCTCTTTACCACACAGCTCCTGCATGTCTGCAGACAGATGTATTGCTCAGCACATCCACCAGCCCTAAGACACACAAATTTATCCTGGCACAGACAGGCACTTGGATATGTGTGGGACTGGGGGAAGAGGAGTCTGCAGCCAGCCTTTCTTTCAGCATGGGTGCAGTTTGGAGGCATTCCAAATACTTCAGTACAATCCCAACACCTCACTGCAATTCCAAGGCACTTAGATGTAACACGTGCTTTGCTGCTGTTGAAAGACAGAGTCAGCTCCTGAAACCAATCTCGTTTGGATCTGCACGTACCTCCGAGAGCTCCTGCCCAGGGATCCTGAGTAAACTAAAACAAACAGTGAAGCAAAGCCCACCTCCATCGCTGCATTGCTTGTAAGCACCAGCATAACTTCAGAACAACAGTGAGGCTTCTCGGTGCCTCACATCACTAAACACAACATTAAGGTGGAGACAGGATTTTTACCTGCACCACACTCGCCTAATGGCTGCAGATCTCCTGAATGTGTGTGGGCTGAGAAGCAAACCAAAGAAATTCAACCTATTGGTACCTCATAGGTTATATATGGCTTGGGAAGCAGTGACTTCTGCACCAATGGCAGTAACACTGGCACTTCCAGCACCGCACCCTCACTCCTCGGTCTGTGCAGAATGCTGCACTCCTCTTGGAAGGATCCCCTCTCACTTCTGAGGAAAGCCTACCGCAGTCTGGGCTGTGTGAGTAATTCCAGTTACCTTGATGTGATAATGCTCTGATAACAGTGCCCTAAAGGATAAGCTGCCGACACAACTAAAAGAAAGTTTGGATTGGAATGCCCCATTCCTCCTTAAACATAAAGGGTGGTCATCGACGTCCTGCAGCTGATAGATTCCCCTGAGGAATGTGGCCACCTGCAAAGTGCTTCATTGTTCTTTTGAATCTGTGAACTCTTCAACTGTCCTGGTGATTTGTGCACTAAGAGGCAACTATTTCTCCCTGAATCTGATAGTGAGCTGACGAATTTCAATGCTGATGAAGACACCACCAAAGCAGCATTCCCAGGAGTCTGCAGGATTAGTGGAGAGCTCTCACCTCTGAGGCCCTGTCATTAGCTTTCTGTAACTGCCAGAAACTGGAGAAGACAGGGAAGAGGAGGAGATTCTTTTCTTCCTGCTTCTACCTTAATTCAGCTGCCTTTTGTTACTACTGATCTTTGCCCTGCTCTCAAATTCAGCTGCTCTGTGTACAAACCTGCCCTGTGCTTACAGCTGAAAATCTAAAGGAAGATTCAAAGCACCAAACATCCCCACAATTTAAATTAATTTAATATATACCTTTGCTTACATCTTCACGTGTCCACATTTCTACATTTGTGCTTCATATCCATCCATTTGTCTTTAGGGCAGGAAGCTGCTTTTGGAAAATGAAGACCTGTGCCAGTTTGAACCAACAGAAGTGATCCAAAGTCCAGAAAATACAGTCTGGAGAAAAAAGTAAGTCCAGGGTTTCTTCTGTCTGGGAGGGACTGATGGGAGACACGATTGCTGCTTTCTGGAAAAGGTTATATGGATAACAGAAGCAGGGGGAAAAGCTTGTTTTCTGTGACCATGTCTAGAAAAAATTGATTTAAATTGCAACACAGGAGATTTCTGAAGATTGTGCCAAACGTTTTAATACTGAGGATAATTAAGTGCTAGTAAACAGTATGGGAGACCAAACCCTACAGTGGCTGGAGATTAAGTGACCAATTTCTTGATCATTCCTAAGACACAGAAATTACTTGCTTCAAATGTAAGCTGATGGTTAGAGGATATACAGAACAGAACACAGATTTAGAAAAATACCCTCAGAAGTCATCTAGTTTATCCTGCACCCCTAAACCAGGTTTAACTATATGCAGTCTTAACACAAGTTTGCCTGGCTTACCTTCCCCTGCCCCCAAATGTAAAAAGAATCAAAGTGATTTACTAAGTTTTGCTGAGCAAAAAAATATTTCTGTAACACACAAAATATAGCATTTAGTATAGAAAAGAATGGCATTCAGTATAGGAGAACTGCATCTGTGTAAGACAATCAAATCACCAGAGCTGGCAAATTAATAGTGATTCTCTTTCTGCTCAGCAGCCTGGAGCTTAGGGCATCCCCTGGATGCACAGGTAGCTAATCCAGGGCTGTTTTCCGACCATGGACAATTGTCACACTGCAGAGATGAGGGATTCTGGGAAGAATCTACTTTTAACCTTGTTCCACTACCGAGAAATGGTCAAAAGGAGGATTGGTTTCAAATTCACTAAAGAATACCAGCAGGAGACAGAGCCAGGAGTTCTCCTGCACTCTGCCAACACTGTTCCATTTTTTCAAAGTATCCATTCAGAGAGAACAACCCTCTGGTGGTTACAACAGTCCTTGTGTTTTAGTCTCCTGCCCCAATAAAGGTTAACAGGGACTGAAATGGAGCAACACATTCAAAAAGAGTGCAAGCACCTGAACCCTAAACAGCCTGTCAGGGAAATAATTTAACTTCAGGTAATAAGGCAGTTTTTACTGTGATTTAAACAAATTTTGGTTTATTACTTTAGATTTCATTTAAACAATTTAATTTAAACTTTAAACAATTTCTTAACTATTTCAAGGCTATTTAATTTCAGCCAAAATCTTCTACAGCAAAGTCAATTTACTGCTTACAATCACTTAAATGTAACCAGTATAAAAATACTTAATATATATTTAGTCAAAAATATATATTACACCTTTTGGCCACACAGTTGTTTATACTTTTAAGTTAGTCACAAATTATGTCATAACAAAACAGAAAGCCATGAGAACTTTTCCTGAGGTCACACTGCATTGCATATCCATAAAAATCTGATGTATTAAGCAAAAGGAAATATTTGTTCAAACTGGATTACTAGTTTCTGCTCACCATCATCTCCAGTGCTTTAGACCTAATACTGAAAAATTTTGGATTCATACAAATTTTTTCTGCTTCCCTTTCCTCTTCTGGGAAAAAAAAAGAAAAATGGGAGATGAGCTTTTTTGCTCTTCAAACTCCTGATGATGTCTCAGCTTTTAATTAGCTGGTTTTGGTATAAACTAACTGGTATATTTTTAAATCTGTAACTGTAAAATCATCATTAATTCATCACCTTCTGTTACTTTTGTTGAAGATATACTGTGAACAGTTTTTCAGGGTTTGGCTTTTGGTTGAGATTTCTGCTGCAAGTCTGTGTTGCTTGGCTACTTAAATTAGATTTATTTTATAGACCATGGTAATATACATCCTCTGTTATTTCATGGTTAGGAAGGAACTGAACCTCAGCTCTCTTCCTTCCTAAAAAAGTTCTTAAGCACCCTGCTACAGTAGGAATTCCAACCACCATTTCCAATTATTTTCTTCATATGTATCCAAAAGCATTTTCCATCTGCATGTAGTCTACAGGATGGATCTGAATTCATGGTTTTCAAACAATCAAAACTGGATTTTTAACAAATACTTTGTCCTTAAGATAAAGCCATGCAGCCACATCTGGGTCTTCTCATCCCATCCTACTCCAATTCAAATATGCAATATCCCTACAGAAAGTGAGAATTGTCTTTAATTTCATTTGTCATTAACAGTGGGAAAACAAAAACAACACAAACCACCAAAAATAAAAACTGGTAATAAAACTTTATTCAAAAGTATAATTCAAGGTGTTACCTTCTATTTCATAATAGGGAAAAAAGTTGGGACTGAAAACAATAAAACCAGCAACGTCTGGGC